GTTTAATAGTATAAAGTCAAAAATATAGTTTTTTTTCTCAAAATTGTCAGTCTTTTTTTCTTTCTTTTTTTTTTGTATAGTGCAAAAAATAAAAAACATACAGGTGATCAAATACCACCAAAAGAAAGCTCAATTTCTGGGAAAAAAAGGACGGAAATTTCATTTGGGTGCAGCGTTGCATGACCACGCAATTGCCAGTTAAAATAGCGCAGCCCCGTAACACAAATAATGGCCTGGTCAGGAAGGGGGGTAAATCTTCTCGAGGGCAAGTGGTTAAGCTGAATATAGGCAGATATAAAAAGGCACAAATAAATTCAGCTCTGTAAATATTAATATTTTAAATATAGGCAGGGTAAGTATCTGAATTTGACCTGGTATCAGCCTCTTGTAGCCCCTGTACAGCAGGGCTGGAGTATGAGACGAAGAAGCAGCATAAGCCAACAAGTTCATGTGCTGACAGGAAGCATGCTGATTGGAAGTGGAAGCAAAGAGACAGAGAGATGAGCTGATCACTGCACTGCTTTCTATTTCACTGTTCAGTCAGGGTGGGGTCAGTTCAGGGCAACCTGGGCTCAAAGGAAGGGGTCGAATGATACTGGATGTCAGACTGAGAACATCTAGCACAGAAAAAACTGCCACGGAGAAATCTCTGGATTGAAATTGAATATTGCAGTAAAAGCAGGTTATGTTAATTTATCTTGGGTTATTTGGTTGTGATTTCAGACTTTGTGTTGCCTGGAGTGGACAACTACTGAATCCTGTAATGGATCCAGGGTGTGTAGGGTGGTCATCGGTTATTTCAATGGTTAAATTCATTTTCTCATCTCTTGAAAATCATGTCTTAACCCAAAGACCATTTTCTGACTATAGTACTATCCTCTACTGTTTCCATATGAGGCAAGGTACCCTAGATATTGTGCACCATAGAGTGCCTGTTTCTACTTTTTGTAGGTCTTCCTGCTTTGCTGATCTGCCACTGGACCTCCCCTGAAAAATAGGTATGGGGTGCACATCCACACCTCCTCCGCCTCCAAGAGTGCCTGAGTGACCTGTCACCTGCCCAACGCAAGTGTTGACTTTGTCTAGGATTTTCTGTTCAGCCATTGTCACTTTCTGTTGGTATGAAGATAATACAGGTTCTGTTGAAATGTATTTACTTTTTTTTTTTTTTTTTGAATAAGGTAATAGCAGAAATGTTGCGTGTCTGCTTTAAGGCAAAACATTTACAATTTAAAATGGCTGATGGGATCACTTTAAAAAAAATGGATATCATCCATGCAGAAGAATAAATACCAAAAAACAACATTTTATCATATAGAAGACATCTGTCTCCAGGAGAGAAGTATGCATGTTGTTTGGAAAGTCTGTGATTTACTGCGACCTTCTATTTTTTAGCTTCGGGATGCAAAGTAATTGACTGTGAACAGCTAAATTTAATAAATGAATTTGCCTTTGATGGCTCATTAGCCGAGGCTCCACGTTACCTGATGTTGTGGCAGCTTCATCATTTACCGCTCATGTTCCCTCCATGTTTTGGATTATGTCATTTTCTGTACAAGATGGAATTTGGTCAGTAACACCTTTTTTTTTTGACAAATGTTTGCATATTATTCACATTTATCTGCAGTCTGAATTGTGTTTTTCATACTAGGAATACAGTATTAGCAGCAAAGTAGAACGTTGCCATAAATAATGGGATCTTGAACTCTCGTACCATTGCTCACTTACAGTACAATATTGCTGGGTTGAAATCGTACTATGTTCCATTCCTTTGGGTGACTTTTGTAAACTTCTCCAAACAATTTAATTTGGAAAAAATACACTTTAATCAATTTTCTAGCACAAAAACATAACATAATACCCAATTGATTGGTAAAATATGATGTTACCCCGAGAAAATAGATACTTAACATGTCACGCTTTAAAATTGCGCATGCTCCTAGAATGGCGACAAACTACAGCACTTAAAAATCTTTAAAAGCATTTACTGGTTACCAGTTCAGAGTTATACAGGAGGTCTGTTGCTAGAATCATTGCTCTTGCTATAACGTTCATTATTATTATTATTATTATTATTATTATACAGGATTTATATAACGCCAACAGTTTGCTCAGCGCTTTACAATATATAACGGGAGACCATACAGCAACAATACAGTTCAATACAAGAGGGATAGGAGGGCCCTGCTCCTTGGAGCTGACAATCTAGGAGGGAGGGGCTAGTGGTACAAAAGGTAGTAACTGTGGAGGATGGACTGGTTGGAAGAGTAGAAGATTCCATTATTAGCTTAGGGTGGAGTAGGCTTCCCTGAAGAGAGAGGTTTTCATAGATCGCTTAAAAGTGAGCAGAGTAGGCGATAGTCAGATAAATTGGGGTATAGAGTTCATGCGATACCTCACGTGTGACACAAACATCGTGCTTGACCTACGTACTTTACTGTGCAAAAGTTATAGGTCAGTGTGAAGCAATGATGTTAAGTAAGAATGCTTTTAAAAATATGCACTTTAATTTTGTTTTTATCAATTTACATAATGCAAAAAGAGTATAAAAATCTAAATCAAATCAATATTTGTTGTGACTACCCTTTTGGCATCACACCAGCATAAAATACACACAGTGCACACAATTTTTGAAGGAGCTCGGCAGGTAGGTTGTTCCAAACATCTTGGAGAACTAACCAAAGGTCTTCTGTGGATGTAGGCTGCATTGAATCCTTCTCTCTCTTCAGGTAATCCCAGGCAAACACATTGGGCTTTGGGGGGACCAAACCATCACTTCCATGACTCCTTGTTCTTCTGTATGCTGAAGATGGTTCTTGCTGACATAGGCTGTATGTTTGGGGTCATTGTCCTGCTGCAGAATACATTTGGGGCCAATCACATGCCTCCCTGATGGTATGGCATGATGGATAAGTATCTGTTTGTATTTCTTAGCCCCCACAAAGCCCTGATCTCAACATTATTGAGTCTATCTGGGATTACATGAAGAGACAGAAGGATTTGAGGCAGCTTACATCCACAGAAGATCCGTGGTGGGTTCTCCAAGATGTCTGGAACAACCTACCTGTTGTTGAGCTCCTTCAAAAACTGTGTGTACAAGCACTGTGTCTACCTTGAGGAAGTAATTTGCTTTGGGTTTCTCGTTCGTCTGTTATTTACTTTCCATTTTGTTAATTGCCAAAAATAAACTTAACACTTTTATTTCTGAAATCGTTTTTTCACAGATGCCTTTAACTTTTGCACAATACTGTGTGTGTTCACCTTTACGCATGGGGATTGGGGGTGGGGAGGGAGAACGGTTTAATTTTTAAATTATTATTTATTTTAGTTAAAATAGGTGCTTCTTATAGAGACCCCAGATCCCTCCTCTGGCCTCCAAAGCAGCCAATCAGACACCGGCTAGTAAACACAAAGGAAAAAAAAAAAAAATATAGTTGCTTCCAGTTTTTTAGACCATAGAGACGATTGGGGACATTCTGGTCCTCGAACATCTGTATGGTGAGCCAGCAGAAACCCCGGCTGTGGTCTAGGGCTCCCGGTGGGACGGGATAGCCCCGAAAGGCAGCGGGAGGGGGGGACCCCCTTTCGCAGCCTGTAAAAGCGATTCAGTGACTATTTAATCATTTCGTTTGCTTTTACAGTATTCAGCATCACCAACTGAAAACACTGATACCGGGTTCATGGCTGCATGGCGGTATCCCAACTTCAACTAAAGGACGTACTGGCATATCCTATAGTGTTGAAGTGGTTGAATACTGTGTTAGGACCTGCTTGGTTAAAACCAATTCATGCGGGCATAGCTGATGTATTAAGACACTGTAGTTGCATTTGTTACACGTAGTAAATGTTGTTGTCTTCTTATAGGGGTACTGACGACCTTCCCTCTGCTGCCAGAAACAGAGAGCCACATGTACAGAAACTCAGCCATTCATGAATAGCTGTGTTTTTTTTTCCCCAATGAATACAAGAATTTCTGATTTGATGAGATGGAGTTTCTGATGTCATCTGCCAGCTGCTATCCCTTCGCCAATCAGAGAACACCTTGTATTCATTAGGAAAAGAAAAAAAAAAACAGGGTTGTTCCAAGGTGCCATGCAAGTGACTTTTGGTAGCTAAGACAGTACACATATAGGTTTAGGTCAAGTGTCTAGTTAGCCACTTGCCTTCATAAACATTCAGTATTACCCCACAACCATCAAAATTAATTCAGAAGCTGAGGCTTTTTAGGGGTCTGCAGTGGAACCCACCTGCAATTGGCTAAATCCTTGCTGTGTGTAGGGAAAGTGGAATTTACACAATACCTTGCTGCTTGGGCAGTCTGCAAGATGGTTGAATAAGTAAATTGGATTGATGTCAAAGAACCGTTCAGATAGAGAGGAGGAAACCTGCAGGAGTGCTGTATAAAATTAAGTATTTGACCTTATGCTCTAGACCAGCCTTTCTTAACCCCTTTAACATGAAGGAATCCTCGATATAACTTTCAGGTCTGAGGGAACCTGCCAATAATTACTATATCCACATCTCAGAGCACATTAACATGACGGTCAGTGGGAAGAATGCCCCTTAATTGGTGGCCAGCAGGAAAAAATTCCCGCTTGAAGATAGCTGAAAAGGTCATTGGTGTCTTTGGTAACTTATCTGAGAGGCAAAACGTGCTCAGTGGTCAAGGAACCCCTAGTAACCTCTGGAGTAATCCTGGGGTTTCATGGAGCCCTGTTTGAGCATTTAACCATTGTAGTATGTTGGAGGGGCACTGCAAGGTGAAACTTTAGAGATACCTGGAGTTCAGCTTTAAAAACAAGCAAAAAATGTATTCAGATCTCAATTTTATGTGTGTAATGTGTATGGGCACCATGAACCTAACTGTAGGCTATGGTAACACTTGAAATCCCTTTTAGATATTTTTTCCAATAACATTTGCCAATATTAATGTATCCAAATCTCCTGCTTTGTTCCTCTGAGATCAATACATATGTCTCTGTATTTTTTTTCCCCACCAGTTGGATGCCGATAATTATGAGAGTGATCCAGAGCTGGCAAAGATCCGCAAAGACAATAATTACACATTCATGGATATAATCACCATACATAAAGACACACTGCCCAATTATGAGCAGAAGGTGAGCAGCTGGATCTGGGATTTGTGTATATGATGTATTTGACAGTATTTATACTTTGTGCATTTGTGCTTCCCAAGGAGTGAGATAGATATATAATGATGCTGGTAGACTTCCTCCCTCTGGGTAGTACATGGCAGGGCTTGGAATATAGATGGCAGCTTGGATGGAGTTCTTATACTCTGTTCCTAGTTTAAAGCAAACTTGTGCTATGTCCAGCAGTGGCTTTTCTTTAACTAATGCCCTCTTCCTAGAAGACATACTTACCTTTCCTTTGCTCACCCACTGCTCCATTTAGCCTGTAGAAGCATGATACTTCTGGCTATGGAGTTTTGTGTAACTTATTCCTGTTCCTCTCATGTGACGACAGTGCAGGTGATTGGTCCAGTGCTATCACAAGGATATTGGGAGATAGTTCTCAGCTATTTGTAAGCTCGGACTCAGGAGTTGAACACGGCTTTATTTTTCATGTTCCCAACCATTGGAACAGAATGGTAGTGTCCAACCCGTAGCAAACTTGTACAAAGCAGTGTCTGGATTCGATGGTAGTTTTCTTGGTGGGTCAGTTGCCTTAAACACCCAGAAAGAATGGCAAAGGGGTTGTAAAGACATTTATGTGGCAAGCTTTTCATATAATGCCACAAGATAAATCTGCTATAGTATAGGTAGGTGAAACATGTGGCCAGAAAGACTGCTGCTAGTGGAAAAACTGTTGAGGACACATAGGCAAAAGGCTTTGACGAAGTCACCTAGCCATTTAACAACTTGGATTCACTGGTTTTCATTTCGATCTAATGTTCAGTATTATTCTGACCAGTAATATAAATAAATGCAATGATGTCTTCAGGTCAGGTCCCCAGGTCTGCAGCTTTTATTACCTCTTACTGTAAAAGAATCTTGCAGTGTGTGGCTTAAAGAACCAAAGTCACCAAATATTGTAATCCTAGAACTCTATACAGTTAATATACAGTATGTAATGATGTTCAGTAGTCATTTTTTCTGCTGTGACATTAGTCAGGTGCTGGAAAATCATAAGGAGCCTCGCCGCTCCCAAGCTTTGGGACGATATCCTCCACTGTGGGCATGTCAGGTACTGGTTGTTTGATTCTGTTTCTGCTCTGTGCAGACATTGTAAATTTAGGTCAAAATGTATTCTGCTACATGTATTTAGTAAAAAGAAAAAAAAAAATCCCAGTAAGTGTATATTAGTTGGTTTGAAAGTTTTATAGCGTACAAATGTCGGTATATATACTAGAATTTTTATACCAGTATTGGCGGCGATCAGCGACTTATAGCAAGACTGCAATAGTATGGCAGGCATTCTGACACTGGGTGGGAACTGCCACTGACTTCTCCAGTGACACTAATACAGTGATCAGTGCTAGTAAAAAGCACTGATACTGTACTAATGACATTGGGCAGGAAGGGATTAACATCTGGGTCCATGAAGGGGTTTACTGTGTGTTAGGGAGTGATTAAATTGTGTACTGTGTAGTGTGCTAGTTTTTATCTCCCTGTTTTCAGAGAGAAAAAAACAGCACGTCCCCACTGACAGGAGAGAGATCTGTGTTGTTTACACTCACTGATCTCTCTCCTGTCAGCTGCTACACCTATCAGAGTCCCAGCTATGAATCGTTGGCTGGGACCCGGTGATTGACACATACAGTGCCATTGACACATGACAGCGCGCGTGCCCCCTGTAGCAAGCGTGCACACAGAGATGGATACGAACCTCCATTTTGGCAAAGGACCATCCAGCTTGTACAATTATATCTCTCCCTCCCTCTTTCCTCATCCCCCTCCCTCTCTGTTGAGTGACATGTGGTCTGTTTGATGCAAAGTTCAAAAAGGCTTTGAAACCCAGTGGGAGGGTGTCCTGGCTATAAACCCTCACCAGCTAGGTGCCCCCCTGTCTGGTAGCTGTGCAATCTGGGATATCGTAAAAGCGTAAACCAAGTCCTTCACAGGAGTTCAAAGACATTCCAGAGAAGGCATAAAAACTAGACACCACATTCAACATCCATTTTCCCCTATGATTTCATATCTTGGAATATGAGAGACTTACATAAAAACCAGGTATATCGTCAGATTGGTTAAGTTAATACAAAACGTTTGGTATATTACATCCCCTAGCTGGAATATATAGGAGGGCAGGAAGGTATATCTCCTGAACCATTCAAGTGTATATGACATGTTTAATCTCTAACCATTCCGCAGATGCTGCTGAGTATTAAAATACTAGTGGCACGGTTGCTAAATGCCCCAAGGAAAAGTTATGGGCCATAATATAAGCTAAGAGGGATTTTTTTGTTCTAGCTTGGGTCTCCGCCCCAACACCCCTCCCCAAATGAGGCAATTGGCTCTCTGCTGTAAGGAGACACCCTGCTCAGATCCTAGAAAAAGGCTGTTATGTTTGGAGTGGTGTGTGTGAGAGAGAAAAGAAGAGTCTCCTGTCTTAACATCGAAACTGACAGTGGGAGATAAATCCTTTTGACTCACTCATGAAACTTGAAGCTGCTTACTCCAAGGCTGACTGGCAAGTACGTTAACCCTCTAAATGCCTTTCTGTTATCTCTGTGCTGTGCTATTGTTCTATGTGTGTGTGTATATATATATATATATATATATATATATATATATATATTGGCTACATCTTTTTCTGTAAATATTTTTATTGCACTCTTTTGACCTCTTTAGTAATAAATCTTACTTTCTGAAAGTGTTGAACTGTTTCTAATGCCTTTAATGCAAACTACGAATTCCTGCCGCTGAAGAGCACTACTGTGTGTGTTTAACCCTCTGTATAACTGTAAGGGACCGCCTGACAGCACCTCTATCAGTCCCCCGGTAGAGCCTCCCCAGTGTGCGGAGTCTAAGCACCGGAGCACTTGTTCACCAGGGCCCCTGATGGTGGGGATGGACTTGGAGCGCTCCGGTACCAGGTCGCAACTACCAGGTATCTCCAACAGGGGTAGAGGAGTCTGACAGGGGCTCCAGAGAGCTAGGAGTCTGATGTAAGGGAGCCTAGTGATCCCTGCGGGGTGGATGGATGGATGAGCTAAATCAGAGTCATGCAGGCCGGGACGGTAACTTGAGGATCGGTAAGGTACAAAACGGTAGGCAAAGGATAGTCGGGTCACACGCAGGGTCAATACCAGGAGGTCAGATCTAAACGGGAACATCCGGGAGCAGAGTCAGGCAAGCCAAGGGGTCAGGACGGGAGAAGGCAACAAGGTCAAAACAATCCAGATCAGAAGTACTCACACACAGGCAACAGGATACAAAGACCATTCGGCAACAAGTGTCTGTGCAGGGCTAGCTTAAATAGGCCGCCCTGCACCTGACAGGCGTAGCCTGGGTCCTAGTGCCTGCCTAGTACTGTCCAGACGACGTGTGCGTGCCTGGGTCCTAGTGCCCTGCCACCTATACGTCTCGGCAGACACCTATGCATGTGTAGACCCATGCGTCGTGATGGTTTCTGACAATAACCTGCCTGCGGTGACAGTGGTATACAGACGATTATTTCAACCATCATAGTGTTATTGCTGATATTGCCGAGTTTCCTCTTTCTCTGTACAAAAAGGAAGTGGTGGCAGTGTGAAGGGTTAGTTGCGTAATTAACCTGACCCAGTAACAATCGCGCTCAGGCTGCCGGTACATCGATTGTGGTCCATTAGCTGGAAAATCGTTGTGCAGGGTGCAGCTGGGCGTGGCATTGTTACGCACGCGACATCACGGTTTTAGATTGGCTAGTCCTTCGGTCACGAGTTTGGTGAGAGGAGCTGGGGTCTGATGTCGCGATCGTCACACCCCCTACCAGGGAATGCAAAATCATGTGGACATCTATCCTATCTATTTATCTATCTATAATGTGTGTGCGTGTGTGTGTGCGTGCGTGCGTGCGTGCAAGTGGTTATATGAAAATACTAGTAATAGAATACGCTATTCAGTAAAGCAAGTGAAGGGAGATTTTCATTCAAGTGCCCAATTCACCCAGATCGGACATCTGTGACAGCTTTTGGATCTATTCAATCTGTGTCAGGGCAGTTGCAATTATACTAAATCTACTGAATCCATTGCGGGCCACAATCCTGTATTAACTTTCAAGTCCAAGGTTTCAGATATATAGGTAATGCCAATCTTGAAATAATTCAGTGTGGACACCATCTGAACCAATCTTTTCTTCTAGCTGAAGATGTTCTACGAAGAACACTTGCACTTGGATGATGAGATCCGCTACATCCTGGAAGGAAGTGGTTACTTTGATGTGAGAGACAAGCAGGACCGATGGATCAGAATCGCAATGCAGAAAGGTGACCTGATCACCCTGCCAGCTGGTATCTACCACCGCTTTACACTGGATGAAAATGTAGGTAGTGTTGTTACTTTTATGTAATAATAGTTCTAGTAGAATTGAAGGCAAAACGTTTTTTTTTTTTTTTTGCTTTTTTGGTATAATAAGGGAGGGTTGTTACCCATTAGGTTTAGTTGCCATTTTTGTCCCATTGGGGGTATTTTCCTTCACTTCCTGTTCTGGTGATCACTCAAAATTTAGGGATTTTCTTTCACTTTTGAAGATAATGGTCATCAGGACAAATAGGTACGAGGATACAGACCGCAATAAGAACCTCACAGGTATTCTTATCCCTCCCCACTCTAAAACTAAAAAAGAAAAAAGGCCTTCATTTATACTTTGTTTACAATTTTTTGTTTGACTGTAGATAGAATTTACACCGCATACTTAGAATATGTACATAACAGAGATATAATATAGTGCAGTGGTCTCCAAACTGCAGCTCTGGGGCCGAATGTGGCCCTTTGCTTGTCTTTTTCCGGCCCTTGGGGAACTACTCCCACCAATGCAAATCACAATTCCTCCCACTGACACCAATAATGGGGCATAATTCCTTTCACTTACACCAACAATAAGGCACTATTTTTCCCACTGACACCATTGATGGGGCACTATTCTTCCCACTGATACCAGTGATGGAGCACTATTCCTTCCCCTGATACCAACAACGGGACACTATTCCTTCTACTAATACCAATGATAGCACATGGTGTACTCCCATTGACGCCATGGCATTTTCCACTCCCATTGGCCACAGTCTGGACCCCTCAAAGTCTGAAGGACTGTAAACTTGCCCTTTGTTTAGAAACTTTGGAGAACCCTGATATAGCACATCCAAAAAACAGCCGTGAGCAGAAGTACAAAGTATGCAGAAAAAATAAACTGAAAAAAATAAACTCAAAAGTATATGCTCATGACACTTATGTATACACTACAGTAAATGCACACCAACCTAGTAGAGTTAAAAAAAGAGCCAAAGATGCACAAGAATTTAGGCAAAATGACAATACGTTTATAATCATTAATCAGGGGTAGCAAATTGATACAAGAACTAGGAATCCTAGTTGTCAGAAAATCCAGGTGTAGAATCATGAATGGTGTGAAATATATTTTCCAGTAACATAATGGAATTTAGTCTTTAATTACATGTGAGAAGGGAACCGCCTTTAGTTATTCTTTATTGGCGAAGATCATCTTTTAAAATTCATGTCAAGCAAAAAAATGGTAGAGAGGGGATAGAGATTGAAAAGTGGGGAAGCCACTCCCTTTTATTTATTTAGTTATTTGTTGCTTTTTTGTGTTTTCAATCTGATTTTATTTGTTTTTCCAAACAAAGTTATAATGTAACATATCTAAATTTTGCAATACTCTTAGATCTTCAATATATAGTAACAGATACAAATATAGAACAATGGTGTGTATATAAAGATATAAACCAGTATGAATATCACATAGATACACTAAAAACCTTATAAAATAGCTGCATAAGGAGGTCTGTGTCAAAAACTTAAAACATAAAATACATCAGGGCTTGACAATTTCCAGGCGCCAGGTTGGCATGGCAACCAGAAACCACGTGCTGGCGCCTTGACCCCTGTCTGCCCACACTGCTGTGTTGTCCTCCCACCCCACATACTCAGCCAGCACCTCTCCCCCGCCCCACAGAGTGGAGCCCAGCATTCCGGGACCCCCAGAGTCTTCCCCCATCCCTTCCCGTGCACAGTTGGAACACAGAGCTGCACAACTCCAGGAAAGCCAGCCCCCTGGAGAACACCGCAGCCCCCCCTCATAGCCCATGGAGCGGAGGACGTGGCCTCCCGCACCAATCACCCTGTCCACACCATGGAGTCCATCAATGTTGCCTTCAACTGCGGCGGTGCTCCCTACTGGCAGACCAGAGTCACCAGGGCCACCAAGTCCCGTCACCTGTGCAATAGAGGACAGCCCTACCTCCAGAATTACCTGTCTTGCTACCCCCTCCCGTGGCGCTGCCCCCCACCTATCCCTCTGTCCTCCCTCTTGTGATGATGCCCCCCTCCTATCCTACTGTCCTCCACCTGTCCCTTTGCCCCCCACCTGCCCCATTGCTCCCTCCCATGACCATTCCCCCTCCTGTCCCACTGGCCCCCACCAGTCTTGCTGTCCGTCCTGCTGCCTTCCTTCTGTCCTGCTGCCCCCCTCCTGTCAGGCTGCCCCTCCACTTGGCTCCTAACGTTTTTTTTTTAGATGGCTCCTAGATTCAAAGTAAATTTGTCAAGCCCTGAAGTACATGCTGTAGCTTTTCCTGCAAAAAAAACCATCCTTGTTATGCAGGCCATAGACGGTTCGTTGATCGGCTGAATTTTCATCCGAAAGAATAATCGCCCGATATTCGCACCATTAGTGGGGCAATGTCATCAGCCGATTTTTCGTGGTTCCTCCTCATTTCTTTTATTGATCATGCTGTTAAATTTACGAAAAACGGACGATTTTCGTAATCATTGATGGCAACAGAACGACCAATTTTTTTTTTTTCATTTTTTGGCTGAAAATTCAGCCGATAAATGAACAGTCTATGGCATTAGGTATTTACTGCTATCCTGGGCTCCAGTAGAGAGATTCCCCCTTACTTCCTGTCCTGCTGCCAACAATTCACCAGAGGGGAATGTAAGAGAAGGGAGAACACTTCGTATCTCTACTAAAGAGAAGCATTTTTATGCCTGTGTTGCTATTGGAGAGTTCCCCTCACTTCTTGGGGGACATTTTCTCTCTAAGAGCCCATTCACACTTATGCGACTTGTAAAGTCGCACCCCATGTTTCCCAATGAGTACCATTCATCCATGATATACATGCGACTTTGTACAGCACAATCAATCATACTCGGTCAAAGCCAAAGTCGCATCACGTCGCACTCTAAAGTTACCAAGAAAATCACATGATTTTAAAGTTGCACAAGTGTAAATGGAGCCTAAAGGAGTCTGCGATAACACTATAAAAACCAGACAGGAGTACTTGCCCTTCCCTACACCATTCAAGCACTCCATTACACTTAACTATTTGTTACCCTGCAGATTTTTTTTTCCTTTTAAGTTTTTAAGACTCTCTTAAAGAGATCACTTTTACAAATAATCATTGACTATTTTTAACATTGGTTAGTGGTAATGCCCCATAGTTTAGGCTGACCAATGTGACAGATTCATAAGAGTCCTATATAGCTCATAATAACAGTTTCTTATGCGGAAGTAACCTTGATATCACATAGTGCACTGTCATCACTCAATGAAAAATATCCTAAATAAAAAAAAAAAAAGTGCTACTTTGGGAACTTTCTTATTGGTGCTAGAATACCATTGTTGTCCAGCATCGGGAATTTCCTGCAGCTTTTTCAGTACACAAGTGAAAGAGATCCTGGCGCTTTCAGGGTTTTCGGCAAAGCACATTTCCCACTAAATCAAGCACCTCTATTATTTTGGTCATTCATGAAGAGCACATCATGCAAATCCCCATTGCAAGGAATATGACCTAGGATTTAGGTCACACAACTGTTGTCAGTGAGCAGCCACCACGAGGGAAATGGAACTAGAAAAACCCTTTCTTACATCTAGAATGACACATAATAAGAACAGACCTACAGAAGACTATTTGCAACTTTTCTCATTCCATGCAAAATAATTTTTTTTGTATTGAACTTTAACCCCTGCCACTGCCTGGAAAGCTATTGTATATTTCACGACTAGGCTAATTCTGACATTTCTCTTTTACATGTAAAAATCAATTAATTAGAACCCCAAAACATTCTATATTTTACCTAGAGAATAAAATGGTGGGTGTTGCAATTTTTTATGTTACATGGTAATTGCACAGCTGATTTTTCAAACACAATTTAAAAACAATACTCTTAAATGAATTTTATTGCACACAAACACTATGTGATACCTAATTTTTTGTTAAAATTTGAAAGATGAAGTTAAGGTGAGGTAGATTTGAAAGATGAAGGTCAAGTAAATTATTATTATTATTATACAGGATTTATATAGCGCCAACAGTTTGCTCAGCGCTTTACAATATAACGGGAGACAATACAGCAACAATACAGTTCTATACAAGAGGGATAGGAGGGCCCTGCTCCTTGGAGCTTACAATCTAGGAGAAGTAAATAGATACCTAACATTTCACGCTTTAAAATTGGGTACACCCATGGAACAATTACGCTTTAAAAGCCTTTATAGATTACCAGTTTAGAGTTACACAGGAGATTTGGATTCAAAATTATTTCTTTCACTCTGATGTTTGCAACGATATCTCACAAGTGTAGTGTGATCACCGTTTACATATGCATGCGGGACTAGCGTATGCATGCGCACTGTGGGAGAGGGCACGTTCAATTCTTTTTCTTTTTAAAATATTATTAATTTTACTTGAAACTCTTTGTTTTTTTTTCTTTGTGACAGCATGAGCCATGAAAGGTCCTCTTTATGAGAAGATCTACTCTGGCCTCCAATGCAGCCAGTCTGACACAGATTGGCCGCTAACGGCCAGGTAAACAAAAAGCCACCTGAAGTTATGAAATCCTCATTGTTTCTGAAGTCAGAGAGGGAGGAAAAACGTAATTTCTTCTCTCTGTGTAGTGCCTCTGTCACAGTGGTCCCGGTTTCAGCGATCAGATGGGAGAGCCTGGGAAAGGTGGCAGCGGACCCCCTTCTGCCGCCTTCAGAAGTGATCAAGTGGCTGTTCAGCCACTGAAATCACTTATGCAAACAGGGAATTGTCGGCAGAAAATTTTTGATACTGGGATGATGCCTCCAGGTGCAGGCTTCATCCCAGTATAACTACTTCAACCCGCAGATGCCACGTGACATCCTACAGGCGGGAAGTGGTTAAAAAGTTATTGCTATACTAATACAAGAGACCCATATCTCCTTCAGACATGTATATCTTCTAGTAAATGGTACTGCAGCCTGTGACATGTCCCAAGAGGCTGCAGGCAGAGAGGGGGGGGAGGGTCGAACTTCCTCTCAGATCACCTAGGAGAAGTGGGTGGAAGTGGGAGCGAGTACCCTAAAAAAAGAAAAATCCAAAAGTTCATATATAAAGTTATATAGATAAAGTTGATCCAGGGAATATCCAATTGCCTCTCGGGGGATCAGGAAGAAATTTTTTCTCCTGCAGTAGCCATTTGAACCATGTTTTTTTTTTTTTTTTTTGTCTTCCTGGATCAACTGTGGGTATAGAATTGTATTTATATATATATGTATATATGTGTGTGTGTGTATGTGTATATAGATAGATAGATAGATAGATAGATAGAGATATATATATATATATATAGATAGATATTTATTTTTTTTTGTAATGGTTGAACTAGATGTACTTTTATCTTTTCTCAGCCAGACTATTTAACTATGAAAAGGAGGGGGGTAGGCAGAAAAGTGGAACTTCCCCTTTTGGGTGGCATTTTGCTTTTAAGCCCTTGCGAAAAAGGTTTGGCAAAGGCTCCACTCTATTGCTAAGGGTCTGGGCTCTGAGCAACACATCCAAATTTTCCCCATGGATCAAGGAGTGCCTGTTGTTATGACTCATCAGTCTCTCCTGGTGAGCAGGGTAGTCTCTTCCACCTAGCTGACCCAGGGGCACCATACATACTAGGATGTTCCCACGCTACGGGCTTCAGTTTTGCTCCCCAGAAAAAAAGATGGTTCCCACCAGGATTCAGTTTCATGGGGTGAGCTTCAATGGACATCACCTAGCTGTTACAGTCTCATTTTGTGAACTGTGCTACCCTCCTAAATGTCCTATTATGACAGACCTGTGAAGTCTCCAACACATTCCTACACCCTATTAACCCCTTCACGCCTAAGGGTAAAACAAATCTAAATGCCTAAGCACAATTCTGGAACGTTGACATGTGTTAGTAAAACTGTACATATCATCACAACTACTTTGTACATCCAGATGGATTATACCTTGGTTTTTTTCAGGACAAATTGGGCTTTCATTTGGTGGTAAATGGTAATGGATAGCTCCTAATTTTTTTTTTTTTTTTATCAAAGGAAAACTGGCCCAAAATAGTAAAAATAAAATCATTTTGTTTTTATTTAGCTGTGTGTTTCTTGTTACGACCATAACCTACCTCCATAGAACAACCCAAAATAAATTCTCCAGCTCTTGACGATCGCAGCAATACCATATATGTGTATGTTATGTGTTGTTTGTACCCGTAGTACCCGTACAATAGTACGCATTTTGTTTTTGTCTTTTACCTAAAACACACTGACACTGGCATTAACACTAACTGACACCAATTTTTTTTTTTTTTTTAAAAAAACCTTGACCTTTGACCCTGACCTTGACCCAAACACTAACCCTGGCACTGAACTAGATCAAACCTTGATCTAGGTATTTTTCTTTATTATTTCTGTTATTTTTTAATATCATCTTTTTTTTTTTCTTTTTAACAAACATTTTTTTATCTCTCTGTCAGGAGTTAGAGAGATACAATGTATCTCTCTTCTCCATTCATAGAGAGAGAAAAGACAAGGGGGCCGGGCTGCACAGTGACTGATCACTGTGATAGCCAATCAGAGGCTATCACAGCGATCACATATCCCGGAATCGGGAGTCCCGGGTCACGATCGTTAGAACGGGACCCGAGGCTCTCAGTGACACCGCTGTCTCTGTGCTGGGAGTGCGCCGTGCAGCGCGCTCCCAGCACAAAGACAGGTACGCAAATATGCAGCCCCACGGAAAAAAGCCTAGTTCCGTGAGGCCACATATTTGTGTGCCGTCAGTGTCAAGGGGTTAAACTGTGGCTGAGAATGTAACATACTGCCATGTCCAGATATACACTTGGCATTGGTCTTCTAGTTTAGTAGGGTAAGTGAAGCATACATCTGCTCTTATCTGAGTGTTATGTAACATTTGACTGTTTTTGAATTCCTGTACCTTACCTACTTTTTTTTTTTTTCCTATATAGAATTACGTCAAAGTTATGAGACTGTTTGTTGGAGAACCTGTCTGGACCCCGTATAACCGTCCTGCTGATGATTTGGAGGGTCGAACAAAATATCTTCAGTTTCTGGAACTAAAAGCATAGAGAATGATGGCCTATTAGGTTTTCCTTTTGTAATACTTTATTTACCATTGGCTATTAATGGTATTGCCCTCCCAAATCACATGCACAATGTATAGAATTTTAATCTGACTTCAAATTCTAAGGGCCTTTTGGGGGATTTTAGATACCAATAGTGTTTGACAGAGTTTTTTACACATAGATTGTATTGGACTTATTCCCTTAGTCTAAGGCAGCCTGTAGATTAGTCAGTTTTTTTCGTATAACCAGTGGGTTGAACCACAAAAAAAAAAAAAAAAAAAACTGACTTTATTCCTCTATCTACACCTATGATGTGAATGCAGGAATTCTTTCCACTGAGCTATTGTATTTTGACAGCAGGGAGGACTTTCCCAACAAAATACACTGATCAGCGTTGCAGTCCGTAGCCTGCAGCAATGATCAAGTGGGGAAAATCTGACAAGCTGGTTGTACAGAAGTTGATCTACCTCTCTGTCCATACATGGATTGTAATTTGGCCCCCTCCAGTTGAACTAGCCAAATTTCAGTTTTAAGCTGCAATACATTAAAGTGATACTAAAGCTAAAAACATTTTTTTTAACTTAATGCATTCCTTGCATTTAGGTTAAAAAACGATTTCTTTTCCTCTGTCCTTCTCCTTCCCCTTCCCTTGTGTGAAGGGGAAGAGAGGGGAGAATAAATACAGCGCTTTGCACAGCTGCTTCTCTTCTCTTCTCCCCTCTCTTCCTCTTAACACAGCTACTCAAACAGCAGCAGGAGCCATTGTTTTTATGGAACCTTTGGCACCTGCTGTTGTTACTCAAATGCAGTGAAAAGGAAGTGAGGGACGGGGCTATGTCCCGCTGTGTGACTCTATGAAACATGGCTCCATAGACACACAGCTCAGGTGTGAGCAGACACCATGTGCCCCTATAGCAAATGGCTTGCTATGGGGACACATGAAGAAGAGGAGCCAAGATTGCTGTCAGGGGAACCAAGAAGAGGAAGATCAGGCTGCTCTGTGCATTACCACTGCACAGAGCAGGCAAGTATACCATATTTGTTTTTTTTTTTTTAATTAAAAAAATGAGTTGAGTAACACTGTAACAATACCTGGCTAGATTCGCCTCCCTTTTTAATCCAAAGAGGATTTTTTTTTTTATTTCGGACAGGGAGATCTTTGTCCACAGCACAATATGCTACCATAGTGCCTTAATTGTGTCCAGACACCTATGGAATTCATTTAATTACTGCATTTCCGAATGATTCTTTATGGAGAGAAATGTCATCCACTGACACAAATCCTAAAACTCAAAATGTATTCTTACTAAATAAGAGCAAAAACTGTATGCATCTCAGTCTAACAAGGGATAGATCCTGCTCAAGTAACCTAAAATATGATTGGTTACTGCATGTCCACATTATTACTGCTCTTTACACTGCTAGTAATCAATAGCTCATTAAACTGCAGGAAGTAATGATCATGTGGAAGTAATGATCATGTGGTGCTACACTACATTGGACCTGTTAGTCGCAGTGCGTTGTTTGCTTTAGTGTTGCAGGTCTACAGCATAATATTCTAAAATAGATGAAGCTGAGGTTTTTTTTTTGATGGAGAGGGGAAGGAACAGATTGACTGTTAACTTTTTATTGTTCTTTGTGATTCTGTTGGGAAAAGATCTCTTCTCACTTCCTGCCTACTTTGGGAATCTGGGCCGGAATTCTGGCAGACAAGAGATGGTCACGTCTGTCTCTCCCACACCTTCTTGTAGGCCTAAATAACTGTGTGTCAGTGTTGCTGCTACCACATAGGTAAAATAAAATGCTACCGATCTTATATCTGTGAACTTCTAACAAAGAATCTATTCAAATAAAGTTTTATTTTTGAAATGTTCTTCAGCCTTTGTGATATGCAATATTTTTCAAAAGGCAGACAGGCTAATTTGTCCATCAGCACTTACCAGTCAGACAGGCAGCAATTATCCATACTCTCCAACAGGTCAGACAGCACACCCACAGTGTCTCAGGGCAGGTCAGGCAGTAAGTGAAAGAAAATAGATTGTACGGTGATTAAAAAATCTTTTTTCTTAGAGTTCATAGAAGGACACAGGATAGTAGTAATTCTTGGATATAAGGGTTACATTGCTGCCTATAGGAGGGTTGAACACTGGCAAAAACAATTGTCTGCCCCCATCCATATAATGCCACCTCCAATTGTCTAGCCTCAGTTTTATGAGCAAAACGGTACATAAGGCCTAATAACCCAGAAGTGCAGGACCCATGTCCCTCACTGGACTAAGAAAAGGGTTTTACAGTAAATCCAAAAAAAGAAAATAACTATTGTACATCGAGGGACACAGGATATTAGTAGTAAGAAGGAGGAGGAGAAAGAATCGACACCCAAACAAAAGCTTAACGGGTAAGAGTCAACCAAATGTGGAGATGGCCAGGATCAATGGAATGATACCGAGGATCAACCAAGGTTCCAGACCAGGACAGATCATTTCAGAGGGGAAAACGTGAACCTATAAAAGCAATGGGCCTCAAATAGCAAAGTGGAGGGCAACCAATCCTTCATCATCTTCAGAAGAAAACCTTAGACCAGGGGTAGGTAACCTATAGAGGTGGAGATTTACCTGCACAACATGGAAGAAGTAAAGATCCCTAGACTCGGCGTCGCCTCCTCAAACCTCTAATTGCAATCACATGCATTGTATGGCAATCATGGGTTTAAATCAGGTGGTTGAGAGGGTTAATAGTTAACTAACTTTTGCTTTGTGCCTATTAACCGATTTATTTTATGTACTAGATGTTCCCTTGGGATTGAAATGCTATGCACACACTTCTTTTCTGAGAAATGGCAGAAGTTACTACCCTGTTTCATTTTTGTTTTGACTAACCATAGAGTAGTTTACTGAAATCTTTTTTTCTGTATTCTGATTGGTGTTTTATGGAAACCACCTGAAATATGCAGTGTTATCATTTATTACTTAAAGCTTGATCAATAATAAAGAAATTGAATTTTGCATCACACATCTAGGTGTCTGACTTGCATTATTCCAAGAGTATTTTGAACTGTATGTGTGTATGGAGAAGGTCTGGCCTAAATTAGGATTCCTAACAGTGGTGAGGAGGCAACATATCGCTTCCTCACCACCTGTCAAACACACTTAGATTGCTTTTCAGAGGAGCAGCAGTACCTGCTGCACTTGTGAATGAGCCCTTCGTTCCATTCGACAGTGGCACCCTTAGGGCTTGTTCACCCATAAAGTTGGAAAGGGGGCAAATCCCTGCAGTTGCGTTGCGGTTTTAGCACCCGCAATCCCTACCCCCTTTAGGTGCTGAGGCAACAGCCAAAGGTGTACACTTGCTGCAGCATAAATTATGCATTCCTTCTGCGGCAGGAATTACAGCAGATGGTGAGAAAGCAACACAATGCTGCTTGCTTCACCTCCTTGTTTGCTGTACTGCACAAGATTGCAGTGCAGCCTCATTCGCTTGAATGGGTCATGCTTGGCAACCATGACAGGGCATATAACTCCTGCTGTGGCTGCGACATGTGCACACCCCTGGCCATTGCAGCTAAAGGGGGTGCATTTGGAGCTGGGCAGTAAAAACACATCTTCAGTAAAGATTTTACACCCCCCTACAAACTGCAAATTCTTACTGTTCTGAACCCCCTATTAGGCAGCTTTCACATGGGTGCAGCACAGTGCACCTGCGACTTTGTGGGTTAGTTGTGCTTTGCCATAGACGTCTATTATATCCTGTAGGTGTGGTGCACTTTCTGAAAACTCACACAATCTCCTTCATTCAGGAGTTTTGGTGTGCTTTCAGAAAGTGCACCACACCTACAGAATATAATAGAAGTCTATGGCTAAGCACAGTTAACCCAGGAAATCTGTAGGTACACTGCACTGCACCCACGGTGTGGGAAAACCACCGAGCATCAGTATGAAAGCATCCCTATACTATTATGTCCAATGTATTGCTTCACACTGACCCGACGATCTCTTCTTTCCTGCTGCTGGTACCACTCTGGAGACTGCTAGCCAGGATAAGAGGTGGAGTGCAGTTGGTATCACTCAGCATGGGACAGGAGTCAGCACTACAGAGGAGGCATCGGTTTATGCAGGTCTCGCTCCATCTTTACAAGTAGAGCCTCTGCATTGCACTCTGTTTGATCCTCTGGGATGGTGGGTCAGCAAGCCAAGACTATGATCTACCAGTCACCTGACCGCGATCTACTGGTAGATCACGATCTATGGGTGCTTACCTCTGATTTAGATGCATTTACATGCGTTTAGGCACATCAATTTTTTTTTCTGCTCAAAACCTCTTCTACATACACTTTTTAGTACAGTTTTTTTTTTTTCTTTTTCAGCCTGTGAACACTCCTCTTCTAATACGCCTGTAATCGCCTATGTGTGCATGGACACCTAGACTAACATTACGGAGCTTTTACAGGCTGAAAAAATAAGCCAAATGCCTGTAAAAGCAAAAATATTTAAGCCGTATATGCATGAGGCCTAATAAGTGTGAATATGTGAATGAGGGTTTAGTGCTGCTGATTCATTTTATTATTTGTATGTTTATCTATCCAAATGTGGCTAGCAGAATATTGTCTGCAACGCCTAGTTGTAGCGTCAAAAAGAAAAGGCCTTGTAATCCAATATCTTCAGTTACAGTGGGCACAATACGGTAGGATACTGCATAGCATTTTTTTTTTTAAAAGTTTGAATTCGCTAAAAAAACGCTACTAAACTACGACATGGGTAGTTTTGCTAAAAAAATGCTACTAAACTATACGGTAATGGGGTTCCCCACTGACAACTGAATGTAAAAGAAAGAATTGCCGGAAATTAAAAAAAATGGTGTGGGGTCCGCACTCCATCATGACAAGCCCTTCGGGTCTGGTATGTTTTTGAGGGGAACCCCCACACCAAAGAAAAAAAAATGGCATGTGGTCGCCCTTAAAATACATACCAGACCCGTATCCGAGCAAGCAGCCCGGCAGGTCAGGA